GGAGAAGCTGCCGGTAAGGAAAATCAGTACAAAACCTCTAGCAGGCTTGATGGCTTCTGTGATTTGATGTGACAGATTGAGCCTGACCTTGAATCTTCTAACAGCTTCCTGAGGATGACAGTACTGTACTGCAAACTTGCAACCTGTACAGTATGTGGACTTACTGGCCCAGTTTTTAACGATTGACAAATAAAATCTTACTGGTTTTTTACTTAGGCAGTGTTTGATTTCCTGCAGGGCACGGGTAAAATTCAGGTATTTAATGAAATCAGTGTGTGTTGTGAGGCTGCCAGCCTCCAATTTGAAAGACATTGACCATTTGTGAAATGTAACCTGAAGGACTCATGAGTGAAGCAGCACAAACAAGGGTATTCAGTCTGTGTCACAGGGAGCTCTTCCCTGTGCTGAACTGTTTCTGTTTGTTCCCCTTCCAGGTCTTTGTATGGATCCATGGAGGTGCATTAGTTCTTGGATCAGCATCATTCTATGATGGCTCAGCATTAGCAGCCTTTGACAACGTGGTTGTTGTGGCAATTCAGTACAGATTGGGTATAGCTGGATACTTTAGGTAAGACAGGCTGTCTTCGATTTTGATAAACCATTTCTAATGTTATGCATGGAAATCCATTGTGGAAAGGCCTGTGGAGTACTTGCTTTGGCAAATAAACTCTCTGTTTCTTAATTACCCATGCAGCAGTTGGGAGCAACTTACAAGTCCCAGGTCTGCTTCAGAGACTGCTGTGGCTTGATTGCTGGCCTGATCTCAACCCTTTTCAAGCCAATTCTTTTTCAATTACGCAGAGAGGCTCCTTCACAGCTGATTCCTTGTCCTGCACACTGTATTTATCTGAGTGTTGTTTTTTTCCACATCAGGCATTTAAAGAAGTCTGTTCTTTCTTTCTAGCACTGGGGATAGGCATGCTCGTGGTAACTGGGGGTATTTGGACCAAGTGGCAGCTCTTCAGTGGATTCAGGAAAATATCATACACTTTGGAGGAGACCCGGGATCTGTCACCATCTGTGGTGAATCTGCAGGGGGAATCAGTGTATCTGCTCTGGTAAGTTCACCACAGGCATGAATGCTTATTATTTGAGAAAGAAACCCACTGTCCATGATCACTCTCAGTACATTAATGAAAAATCAGTGAGAAAACGTGGGTGGCTTTTGGGTAAAGCACACATCACCTCAGTCTGATACACAGCTGATAACAGTGCAGCTTCTGGCTGTTGAAAGTGTTCTTTTTGTACCCAGATGATGTCGCTTAGAATCCCAGATGTCGTTTGTCCTCTTCAAATTTGAATGTCCGTTTGCTCCCGACTTCTCTCTTAGAGCTGTATTTTCCCCTTCTGCAGCACAGCCAGTCTGTTGGACATATGTGTACCTGATTCATACCTGGCTTGCAGTGTTGTTCCCTGAAGTCTTGTAAGCAAAGCTTTATGGGAGGGGAAGGGCAGGTGTGGACTTATCCCTGTTAATGCTGCCACAGACCTTTGCACAGCAGAACTCTGATCAGAGGCCACAGAGTAACACTTGGATGACATTTCTTTCAAAAAAGGCAGTTTCTGATATTGAAGTCCTGTGTCATGAATAGAATGCATTTCCAGTAATGCCTGTTCTTGTTTCTGGATGCTGCTGCTTTTCTCCAGGTCTTATCTCCACTGGCAAAGGGCTTGTTCCACAAGGCCATTTCAGAGAGTGGTACTACAATTAGGACTTTATTCACTGAAAAGCCTGAGAAGGAAGCACAGGTGGGTATTTTGTGGCATATTTAATTTTTGAGATAGTCTTGAATGTCTTAAATGGTGTATTCAAGAAATGTGGATCTTGGTCTTTTTTTCTTGTGGAATTTCAACCACCTTCATTAGAGACAGGATTCCTGTTTGCAGTAAT